TAAAATAAAATTAAATGTTCATTGTTCGTTCTCGAAAAAATGCTTATTAAATTTATAGTAGAAATTTTTTCTATTTTTAATTATTTTTGTTTTTTTTTTATTATTTTTTTAATTATAGTTATATTAAGTAAATAAATAATTTAAATTTAATTATTTAATTTTTTTTTCTTATTTTAATTTTGTAATTTTTATATTCTAGTTTTTTTTTCGCATTTTCATTTAAATAGCGAATTTTAAACATTTTCTATCTATTTACTTTGCATGTCATTTTTCATGCCTGCTTTTTAAAAAAAAACAAAATGAAAAAAAAATCATTCAAAATATTTTTTTTTCTAAATATACATTCATTAATTTTATTTATTATATTTTTTGTTTTTTATTTAATAATTATTATTAAATATATTTTTAATTACTTAATAATTTTTATTAATTTAATTAAGTTCCACAATACTGTTAATTAACTATATTCACTTAGTGAATAAATAAATTTATTAATTACAATAATAATTCAATTGAAGAGAAATTATAGATTATTCCCAAAAAAATTTCTCAAATGTCATCGAAAGAGAAGAGTATTTAAGTTGAATTTCACGTAATAAGTGAAATTAAGAGAAAATTTTAAAGCATAATTCTAAGGTGAATTTCTATTCAATACTTTTAAATGAGCGTCATCAATATTAACAATAAATATTAATTAACAATATCCAAATCAAGTATGACAATAAAATATTTCTACAATATTTTATAATTAGTATGAATTAAATTTACTTTACCATTTACATTATGCTTTTTAAATAAGTTACATTTAAATATGAAAAATTACAAATTTTTATACATACAATATGCTAATTCATTTCAAAAATTTCTCAAAATCTGAAATATAGGATATGATCTATTCAACATTTAGAAAATTCGTATCACAAAATTTATTTCAAAGAATGTGTTATTCTTGTCTTATCTTCGACCCTATTCGCAAAAACCCTATCTAATGCCATTTATCCCATGTTTCTAGCCCTTCTCAAAATACTCGTACTTTTTCACACCTCAGAAGTAGGTATATAATGCAAAATAGGATGGTTTTTGAAGAGTTATACGAAATGTGAATAAAATAAATAGAATAAAATTAGAACTTGTAGCCAAGTGGGTAGCATGCTATTCTCATAACCAGAAGGTTATTAGATCGATGCTTGCCGAAATATTGTCATATTTTTTTTTTACTTTAAAACCAATTCAATTAAAATTTTAAATATAATATAAAAGGAAACAATTCTTTACTTATAATAAATATTAAAGGAATGAATTGCTTTTAAATTTTTTGTCTTAGGACATAATTTATCAATGATCACAGCTTAAGAAAATTCATTATGCGGTAAAATATAAATTAACCCATTCACCACCAACTATACAATTTATTATTAGAATATATTTTTGTATTAAAATCATAAAACACATAATATATGAACTTAATTGCCATCCATATAATAGTTATGATTATTAATAACCAAGGAAAAACAAAATTATGTAACTAACGACTTTTTGTTAATAAGTAACTATATTAAAAGAAATATATTTAAATATATACAAATAGGAGTTTATAAATAGTAAAAAAAAATTTATACTTGATATTTAACAATTTTTTTTTTCTCACATAAATAATAAAGATATGAAATGACCTCCTTTTTCTTATATATTTCTTTTTAATAATTTTTTTTCTCTTTTTTTATGTCCTTAACTAAATCATATTTTTTTTTTACAAGTAATGACCATATAATAACGGATATTATACATAAATATTCTTTAGAGAGAAAGGAATAGAAAAAGGAAGAAAAATATTAAATTCTTCTTGTTTTTTTATTTAATTTTTTTTTTATTTTGAAAATTATGATAACTACTCATATATAGTTAAATGATAACCTTGAACAATTTATTACGGAAACTAAAAGCAATTCCTAAATATTTTTTCCATATATTTTCTTCAAAAAAAAAAATTATATAAGTAATAATGATTACAATAAAATCAATGAAAAAGAAAAACTATAATTTTTTCTTATTTTCTATATTTTATTTCTCTATTTTATTCTATGGTGGAATTTTTGTAATTATTAAAAAAACAATTCTTAAACCATGTGTTTTATACTAGGAATTTTATACTAAACATTGGTGTGGCAATGCCATTTTCCTTGTATTTGTTTTCCTTGTATTTTATATTTCAAACCCAAAATTTGAGAAAAATATTGTATATAACAAATTGAGTGCATACGAAAAAAATTCTCTTTTTTAATAATTTTAAAAATTTTCAATTTATGAAATTATTTATGATTGTGAAGAATAAAAAAATCACAAAATTTTCACTAATTTCTCTAATTATTATTTGATCGTAAAATTTCACTAAATCTCGAATATATCAATCTGGAAAGAAAAAATTTTTTATTAATTTATTTTTGAAATAATTAATAAAAAAGGCTAACGCCATATATACATACCAAGCTGAAATTTATTTTCCGAAATTTTGATTCGGGAAAAAATTACAAAACAATTCTTAATGTTTTATGACATTAAGTAGACCAATTGTTTTAAATATTTTTTTTTTTTTCAAAATATTACTAAATTTTAAAAATACTAGATTAAAAATTCTTTTTATAATCGACATTTTTTAAATTTTGAATAGAACTTTCATTTCTTAAAAAATTTAATGAAATAATTTCAAACAATTCTATGAATTCAAACAACAAAAATCAAAACTGATTAACTTCCTAACATAGTTTTCAAATTTTTTAATTTTTGCCTCTTTTTCCCATTATGAAATGTTTAGTGACCTTATATGATGCAAAATTAAAAAAAGCACAGGAGATTATTATGCATATAATTATATACTTCTTATTTGATATAGATACGACAGAATTCAACGATATAATTCAACGATATTAGATTTTGTTTAAACTCTTAGAATTCATTCTATTGGAAGCATATTATATTATGCACTCCATTCCATATTAAATTTTCCCCCCCTTTCTGTATATAGTTATCATAATTTTCAAAATTAAATAAAAATTAATAAGTATATTGTATACTCAATAACTCCACATAGTATTCAGAATCATAAAAAGTATGTTCTCATACTCAAATCATAAAAATTTTTAAGTACGACATTTATTCATGTTTCCGCATACGTATATAAACCGTATATCTATAAACAAAGCATATTACTATTATATTCAATTAACAGTGGAACTAATTTTTATTATTACGAATTGATTTTTTATTATATAGTTTAATATTTTTTATTTATAGTTTGTTTATGATTTTTTTTTTCTCCTATTTTCTATATTAATCAATTATTTTTTTTTTATTTTATATATATTTAATTTGCTTTTTCACAATAATCACGCTCGTTCAAATTAAATTTGAGAGTAGTTAATAATTATGTTCAAAAAATACAAAAATATTGAGAGTTTTATCAATTTCAATTTCAATTTTACTATTTATATTTTAACCATAATTATTATTATTATAATAATATCAAAAAAAAAAAAAAAAAATCATAATTATAATCAACCTGTAATCAATAATAATCAATTTTCAATTTACATTTCCATATTTTTCATATTAAAATTTCATTCATATTCTTAACATTTTGTTTGTTTTATTATTAAAAAAAAAAAATATCATAGAGAGTAGAAATTATATTATCCTTTACGGTTATTAATATCATTATGTTAATATTTTACCATTTCATTTTTTTTTTTTAATTTTTTTTTTTATTACCAATTTCCGTATTCTTCTATTTTTGGTTGTTGGATTTTTCGTCTCATATTGATTTTTTATTACAAATTATAATTAGTAATTATGTTTTATTTTAGTTTTTGAAGTTTTTGTTATTTTTTTTTCATTTATACAGAGTGTTTACAAATATTAGAGTCATTACAGATCGTAATGACAATAAAAATATTTTAATCTTAAATAAATGAAATGGAGTCCTTTAATGTTATATCTTTTATTAAGCTCAACAATTTGTTGATAATACTATTGTTTATAAAACATAAAATTTTAATTATCGAACAAAAATTAATTGCATAACACAAGTATAACATTAACTTCCAACATTTTTCTATTTATATTCATGCTCATGCCATGCTACTATTGTTTATAAACAATTAAGTCGCTCTTCTTTACATTAATAACTTATGGCTTGTATTATTGCAATTTTAAAAACATAAAATAAATGAGATTCAAATCTCTCTAATCATATATTTTATTCTCTTTATTTCTCTTCTCTCTTAATATTGTATAAAAATTTTCAAATCATACAGTGAAACATGGTATGCAAAAAGTGTTTTTTTCATATTTTCAACTCAATAATAAAAATTCAAAATTACACTCTGTATATAAAAAAAAAATAAATAAATGAACAAAAAGTAATAAAATTATTAACGTAGATCATTCCATTCATCCCATTTACTTTTTTTATTAACATTTCTCATCCTTTATTTTTCATAATGATATGTCCTTTATTTTTCTCATATAAAATTCTTTATAAATACCTTCATACTATAATATGATCAATTTGTTTTTTTTTTATGTCTGAAAAATTTTCACCTAATCCTTTAAATTCCAAACAATTTTTGTATCCTAATCTTTTATTATTATTATTTTTTGTTTTATATAAAAATTAAAATTTTTTTCTATTTACAATTATTGATTAATAATATTAATTAAAATTTTATTTTAATTTTGTTTTATAATTTCTTTTCGAATTTTTTGGGTTCTTTTGAATATTTTAATTTTTTGGGTTTTTTTAACCACAAAAAAAAAATCAATATCAATTTTACCATTATTTTTTACTAAAAGAAATTTTTTCTCTATATTTTATATCTGTTATACTACTACTACTACTACTACTACTACTCTACATTAATTATGACTTCAAACATAATCATAAAATCTACAAAAATTCATGTTGATGATGGCCAAATAACATTTTCTTGATTTTCAAATAAAAGGTGTCTCACGTTAAAATTGATTCACCTGTTTTCCGATTACATACAAATGCAACTGTCATACTCTTGATTACATTTTCAATAGCTGTTACAACACGCCAATACGTTGGTAATCCAATAGACTGTGTTCATACAAGGTAAGTATAAAATGAATTTTATTTAATAAAAAAATTGCATATCATTAAGAATTTATATACATAATTTTCTTTTTTAATTTTCTTTCTTTTTACATAAAAACATGTTATATTAGTTGTCATACATTTTGTTTACGATTATATATTACGACATTAAAATGTTATGTACCTACCTAATATAAATATTAAGAAAAATGCAGACATAATATTTTCAGGTTTGTGTCTTGGAATAAGAGAACAAATTTTATTCAGGAATTTTAATTGAAAAATTTTATTAAGTACACAAACCGTATTATTTCAGTATAAAAATGAATTGCAATTTTGTTATACAAAAACATTATATTTCATTGTAATACAGTGATTCTCAAAATTTAATATTATGCTAGAAAAATATTTTTTACAAATTTTACGATATTAATAATTCTTCAATTATTTTATATTAAAGATTTCATGAATGTATCGATGTATTTATTATTTTAAGACAGTTTAATTATTTAACTGTTATATTAGTAATATATACATAAAATTTTAATTTTAAATAAACATTATGGGTACAATTTCATATTTTAGTAAAATTTAATATTTTAAACAAACATTAAATTTTATACATATTATATTATTATACAAAAAAAAAATTCAATCGAAATCATCATCGAATATAAATTCAAAAATAAATTTGAAAAAAATAATAAAATTTAAAAATAATTTTCAAAAATTCATTATTAATATATGCCATACTTTTCTTTTTATTTATTTTTACAAAATTTTTAAATTATGTAAATGCAAAAAATCTTTAGAGACATTCCGGAAGATGTCCTCAATACTTATTGTTGGATACATTCAACATATACAGTGGTTGATGCTTTTATGAAAAAGCAAGGTGCGGAGGTGCCTTTTCCAGGCGTACATAATTCACAAGGACGAGGTCCATTAACAATAAAACATACAAAATACTATCAATGGGTGGCGTTTACCCTGTTTTTTCAGGTAAGTCTATATTTTTTAATAAATAATGCAAAAATAAATTTTTCAATTCAATTTTGTAATTAAAACATTTTTAATTATAAATGTATGAAGAAATTTAATATTAACATATTTTAATATTTTATAATAAAATTATGCAAGGATTTATAAAGGAAATTAAATGTGATAATGAAATAAGTATAAGAAGTCTTTACTTATGCTTATTTATTTGATTCTGAGAGTGGCTTATAACTTAATTTCTGTTATACTTCTCTACACCAGCTGTTGTCTTTTTTAAAACATCGGTTTAAAGGAATTTTAAGAAAGGCAGAAAAATTTATTCCTATAAACCAATATGTAGAGCAACACTTCCGAATACTGTGCAGAACAATACCGCCAAATAATGTTTGCGAAATTACACTTACACTTTCGCATGTAAGCTATTATGAAGTTAGAATATTTCATTCTTGAATAGAGTTTTCTACAATTACCCTTTTAAATGAAATTTAATTATCTAACAAGAAATAATGTTCTTTTCTTTTTATTGTTTACGAAAATTTTTACTTGTAGTGTTGTTGTTGAAGTTTTGTTCATGAAAAATAATTGTTTAGAACAAGGATAGAACTATAGAGAACTGTTTTAATACAATCCTAAACTGAATAAATGAGAAATCTCCTATTATTTTAATTCTTTAAATGTATACTAGTTGTCTTATGAATGTTGAACTACATAGAATGCTGAGTAATAAAAAATACTTGAAATTTTAAAATAATTATTGCACATTCCATGTAAATTATAAGTCTACAATAACATAATAGGTTTATAAAACATAAAATTGAACAATATTTTGTTTTATTTGTTTAAATAACTCAATAAAATTATCAATAATAATATTTTATTACATATATACAATTAATATGCCTGTATATAATTATTCTATTTCAATTATTTCTGATCATTTTAATTATAATTCACACTTTACTATTATAATTATTATTTTATATTCGTATCAATACAATCAAATGTAATAATAATAATTATAATCATTTCATTTATAAATTACTTATAATTCCTGTACAAAAGTATAAAGACTTCCACAAAATAATTATAAAAATTTGCTCCGAGATATAGGAACATATATAATACGAGTATATACAATAAGTATATACCAATATAATAATTAAAAAATTTCTATAATATTTCAATTATCATGTTATAAAGCAATAAAAATAATAATTTTTTATACACACACACATAATATATAAGCATATATTCTACCTTCTCCTACACATAATATTATATGGTTATACATTTGAATTCATCAGTTTAGCTCTTATTTTGGATATACGTCATTTTTAACTTGTTGAATTAAATATATTTCTTTGTTGTATTTCTGACGGTAATTTTTCGTTACGATTTTTTAAGATTTGTCCTATCTTCAATAAGTTTTATAGATTTGAAAATTTTATAAATTAAATAAGTTTTATAGATTTAAAATATTTAAAATATTTTTATAGTTAGTTTGGGATTTCAAATTAATATGAATCCGTTTCTAATGTGAAGTTATATGAATATTTAACAATTCATTGTTATTCAGTTTCGGAAACCTCTATAAATATTTATTTGCTGAACACCATGGACTACAAAACTAAAATTTTTAAGGAATGTGGCATATCATAAAAGAAATTTACGAAATTATTTTCATAACATTGTTTAAACTTATATTTTTAGCTCTCAAAATTTTAAGGAATAATAAAAAACGCAAGACGTCAACTTGATAACCACAATGTATGTTATTAAAATTTACAAAGCAGTTTTTGAGTAATTAAGTTTTAAAGTCATTTTCTCCAAAAATTGAATTTGAAACGCTCATCCGAATCTAACACTATGCGAACAAATTATAAAAATAATGAGTAAAAAGTATGTAAAATGAGTAAAAATATTTTATTTTTAATTTATACATCTTTCATTACTTCATATTTTTATTATCCCCACACACACATACATACATACACGCATGCATTGAAAATATAATATAATTAACTTCTATCATTTTATGTTTAACAAATTAATTTAATTTTCAAAAAAAATTTTTAAAATATTTTACACAAAAACATAAAAAATCCCCCAATTACACTTTTGACTACTTTAAAAATTAGAATATTTACCACATTTTTGACATTTATAACCTCACTTTTACACGCATTCAATTAAATATGTGTATAAATGCGTGTATTTATTTTGTACTTTATTTTTGTGTTTACATAAAATTGTAAAAAATTCATTATTACATAGACTGAAATTACAAAAAGAAAAATTTATTTCATAGTTTAAAACAAAAAAAAAAACTCAAAACAAAAATTGCCTTTATTTTTTGTTATTATATTTTTCCTCTTCATCCCATAAAAATATTAAATTTTTTAAAAATAATTTTAAATTACAAAGAAGTGGTTGCATTTTTGTATGAAATTTAAAGAGTATAGAATAAATAATATTTTTTATTTTTTCATTTTATGATGGAAAGAAATGATGTTGTTGTTTTTCACGCAGATTTTCCGGAATAAATTATAATTTCATTGAATTTCAAAGTGCATTGTAACTTAATTTCGAATGTGTAGATATACACCATAGATAGAGCATGGTGTATATCTACACTTTCGAAATACAGATTGTAAACAAACATACAATATAGCACTGCTATTTTATTTTGTATAACACAAAATTTTAAAATAGAAATAATTAAAAAATTATTATATACACAAATTATGGTTTGCCTACAATATTCTTACATAATATATGAGTGTATGAAAATTTAAATTTTTTTTTTTTTTGAAATATCAAAGGGGTCGATAAAACTTTTATTTTGCAGTAAATTTTATAATTATTATATGAATTTACATTGTTCATATATTAAATATAATAGGTAATTATACAATTTTTAATGAAAGCACTTTGTTTATATATTTTTGCAGAATATAACATATATATATACATAGATCATTTATGTAATAGAAATTTAAAAAATTATTGAATAAGTAATATTAAATTTAGAAATATTATATTAATATAGGCATAAGTATATGGTAGTTGACTGCCATTGAATCACGGTACTAATACTATCGAAATAGCAGTTGTACCGCAGAAAATATTCCTGATTATTTCTTATAAATTACAGTAAAATAAACTACCAAAATTTCGGTATTAATTTCAAATGTTTACAGGAAACTTTTCTTTTCTCATAATTAGAAATTAAATATTTAGGTATTTTAATACTGTATTTATTGTAAAAAGAAATTTCGTAAATTAATTTGAATTCCAGTTTAAAATTCATTCCAGTTCATTATATTTTATCACGTATACATAATCTTACCATTTGTATTTTTGTATACGTAAACTTCTTTATTTAATTCTTCCATTTATTGCACAGTTTGTTCATCAAATAGTGTTGTAATTTTAAATAAATCTACTAAAAATTTTAACTCTTTAAAAAATTATTCTCTTCTCTTTAACAAACTGATGATTCACAACCTATTATATTTATCTTTCATCTTATAATTTTTTAATAAATTATTACTAATTGTCTCGCCTTTAGTCATAAAAGTATTTCTCTTCAAATAAATTTTTCTCTTCTTTAAATCTGTTTTTCCAAAAATTTCTTTTAACAAATTTATATTAAAACCATAAGTTAATCACAAAATTTTTATTAAATTATTTAAACCATTTAAACCAAAAATTTTATAATTTATATAACAGTTTATATATATATATATGTTTGTATGTACTTGTGTACAAATATGCAAAAAATTAAATTCTCATTAACAGATTTTTTAATTACTAGGCAAAACATTTTTTTTTTCTTTAAATTCCCCAAAAAATAACAAAACTAACCAAAAACAACAACAACAAAAAAAAAGTGCCCATAATCCATTAACCCCTTTTGATTCTATCTTATCCAATTAATTCTCTCTCATTTAATTTCATATCCAAAAAAAAACAACAAAAAAAAATTAAATTCACTCTTTTACTCTCCTTCTCTATTTTTAATTTTATCTTAAAATAAATTTCCCTAATTTATGTCCTTTTTAATTGACCCAATTTTTCTTTACAATTTAATTCTTCTTTTTTTTTGTATTTTTTATTTTCATTCCTTTTCGGTTTGTTTATTGTTTTGTTTTCTTTATTTTTTTATTATTCTCTTCCACCTGATGATAATCATGTTTTAATAATTTGTTTTTGTTATGTTTATTACTTTAAGAAGTAAAAATAATCTGAGCGAAACGTTGTTACCGAAATTATTAGGCATGAATGGAAGAGAAAATGAATTTAGTGCATGGAGAGAGAGAGAGTAAGGGAGAGAGAGAGAGGAGGGAAGGGGAGGAAGAAAAAAAAATATGAGTTTAATACCCTCCTCCAAGTTATACTCTACAATCTACAGTAATGATTTAAGATTATATCAAATTAACAGTATAATAAAAGGCCAATTAGTATAATATTAAAGATAACAATTTCTTGAGGGTGTTAAGTGAAAACAAAAACAAAAAATATATAAAAATAAGAAAAAAGCATTTAACGTCTAAATAAATCTAATAGAATCCTGTCAACATAATTAGAACCTTTTTTTTTCTTCTCCTTGCTCCCCTTTTTCTTTTTATCATCTTTTCTTCTCTTTACTCCCATGTTTTTTCTTTAATTGGTTATAATTTTGTATTAAGATTTTAGTGTTATTATTTTATACATGTACATCATAATATCATGTACATTTAATGTACATATATATATATATACATATATATATATATATATATAAAGATAATATACCCATGTTCTTGTATATACAAAAATATTTTTCTTTTTGTTATATTTGTGTTATATTTTGTATATGGAAACTTAACACAATAAATTTGTGTGACATTTGACACATTTGATGACTGCCTTCGTAATTAATATCCCAAATTTTTATGCTGTTGTTTTTTTTTTTTGGTTTTTGATTGTCTTTTTTTATTTTTCTTTATAATTTTATAACA